GAGGAAAGCCAGCCGAGATAAACAAACATGCTGAAGGATGGGCACTGCTGAATTGTCCCCAAAATTCCCTCTGGCCCTTCYGCACCAGCACCAGCGCTGCACATCTCCCTGGGGATAAAGCCTGATCTGTGTGGAGAACACTSAGAAAAAAACACTGCAAAGGGGGAGCACAATGTGAGGAACTCGTGCGAACTCAAGCCAGGATCAGCTCTTCCACTTTTCCCTTTTTCCCCTCAATGTACCCTCCCTGTCACTCTGTTTGYAGGGTTGTCACTCATGTTTCCATCACCTCCCTGCTCCCAGAGCTCTCTCACAGGCAGCTCAGCCTGGACTGGCCACTTTGGAAAATAAACAGTCATTTCTGAGCTYCTCAAAGGTTTCAAGTCAACACCTGGAGCTGACACTTGTATTTGTGCCCTGCTGTCAGGAGCAGGAGCTACAGAAGGGATAAATCAGCATTTRGGCCATTCCAATCATTCTGTTGTCATTTAAAGTTATCATAAATGAAAGCTTTCTTCAATCAATACTTGGTAATTTWTTTTTTTKTTACCACTTCTGTGCCCATTTCTATCTTCATGTTTCGTATCTGGAGGGGTTTTTTTAAGTATCTGTTTTGACTSGTTGTTAGCAGCAGTGGGGGAGCCAAGCTCGAAGAAATCAGGGCTGATTTGAACCTCCATGTGCAGAGAAGATAAATGGGAAAATTCTCTGTATTTCAACACCAGAAACAAAGGGCCTGAGAAGGTTATGAGCAAACCACACTCGAGAGTAAAAATATCCTTGCAATTCCACATGCMAAAATAACTTTAAAAAGACAGTTTGGAGGTCAAAAGTTGCTTTCTTACGGTTTTCCTTGGAATAAAAAAGGGAATTCTGGTGACATGCAATAGTGGTTTGATTTAGCAGGGTGCCCTTGGCTGACAGCTCAGCTGCTGCAGCCTCAGAACACGGAAATTCCCTGATTTTCTGTTGATAGGTATGGCTTAATCTGATCCATTGGGGCTTGAGCTTTTGTAAAAATAAATTAAAAATATTCCTAAACCGTTAAGGTCGTCTTCTTCCACTCCATTTGTAAAACAAGACTTCAAATAAATACAGACACATAAATATATATAGAGATGGAGAAAGAAAACATCTGTGCTGTATCAGATGAGAATCAGGGAGCCACAAGCCATTACTGTTAAAAAATGACATTTCAATGTCCTCCCATCACTAATAACTTAATAATGTGAGGAAATGTATGGAAAAATCCATAAACGTACCTGCTACACCTCAAGTTTTGAATTTATTCGGTAGGAAAGTTCCAAATCCCCATATTCCCCAAAACAACCTCAAAGTGGTTTTCTAAAAGGCCTTGCTACATTGAAAGAGTTGAAATTATGAACGTTAAAAGGAAATGGCAGGAATTTTCTGTTGGCTAAATAATATATATATATATATATATACATATATATATATATAATTATTGAGGGGTTTTTTTTTCATTTGAAAACACAAATTTTAAAAAGTCAAGATTAATTCAAGTATTTGATGAATAAAATTTAGTCATTGATTTAAAACTAAACAATCTCTGAGAAAGAAGCATGTTTTGGCCTTTGCACACCTTCTTGAAGGCTGTTCCTGACAGGACCATTGTGTCTCCCAACAACCCGGAGAGCTGCACTTGCTTGGGATGCAAATCCATTCTCCCAAATAAAAGAACTTCACCTGGCCACCACTTCATGTTCCCAGTGCCAGCACCAGATTTGAAACTATTCTTGCCAAGCGGCTGTTGAGCTAAAATCTTGTTTTCTGTTATTTTCCCCATTTCACTTTTGTAGAATGTCATTCCTTCTTGCACTTTCCATAGATTTCAACAGCAACACAATTGTCTATRCTCTTCCTGTCTTATTTCATTTACTCTTTTAGGTTTTATCTTAAAAAGGAGTTTTTGTTCCACAAGTTTTCCCAGGGCACATTCATAACTCAATGAATATTTCCTAAMAAATAGACCAGCATATTTTTTCTTCATTTCCTGTAGGAAAATATGGAAGGGAGGGAATGTTTTGCACTTTCCTGGGACATCTCTTCCTTTGGTTCAAGGTTTGCCACCACATTGTGCCACCCTTTGTGCAAATGCACCAAATCCCAGCCAGAGCAGCACTGAAAAATTCCCACTGCACACCCAGATATTCACCCAGCACGGGCAAAAGGAGCTTTTTTCTCCCTCAGCACCCATCGAGCAGCAAATGAAAAGTCAGGGTTAGATCCTCACAGGAACAGCTCCAGCTGAGACTCTTCCACGGGGGCTGAAAAAGCCTCAGCTGAAATTGTGGTATCCTCTTATCAAACACATCCCAGCCAGCCAGCAGGAATTACACCCGTCCACCAAATTAAAAGAAGAAATACCTTTCTAATTAAAACTGAAATTATGAAAGAAGAGCCGCACAGAAGAGCTGGAATCAGTGCTGTAGGTTTTTGGTGTTTCATTACTGCTCCCTGATACCCAAGATCAATGTGCTCCTGCTCCAATCAAAGCATTCCCAAAATGCAAATTCTGCTCTCAGACTGAGAGAGGCTTTGCAGTCCCCAGCGCAGTCACAGGTGAAAATGAAGCCTGGTTTTATTTCCAGGTGGGAAAGGCATCTCCAGCAGGAACAGGAAGGTTTGCTGGGGAACAGCCTCACATAAACAACAGCAAAGTTGCTCTGGAGAGAATGGGATGCGAAASCAGCTCGCCCAGCAACTTCATCTTGGAAAGCATTAAAAAGAGCTATATTTAATGATGCTATTGTTCAGTTGGAATAATTTGTGTTTAATTTCTCAGGGAAATTCAAATCTTTTATCACAAGCGCTGATTCTGTTCTCTTTTTATATTTTTATCAATGGTTCAATTTGCCCCTTAATCAAAAGACAATGCAAAGGGGAATATTTCTCATTCAGCAGRGCATCTTGACTAATTTGATGGTCCCATATGTGATCCCTCTGAACAGGAGTTCACACAAAGAGCAATTTGCAGCACACACATAACTGGAGAGCTAAAAATAGAACATGCAGAACTCAGTGTTGGCATCAGAACTCCTGCAATGCCCTTTGGGCTCCAGCTGATATTCACAATTTGATTAAACATGCTCCCAGAATGAGTGCACGAGCGTGCGTTCAGTGTCAGCAGGAAGGAAAAGAATTCTGTGCACTTCAGCCTGGAAACAACTCCCTCAGGTGTTTTTTACTGAATTTATTTGGGATGCAAAATGGGCTCCGGAACAATATCTTGTGTCTTGAAGTTCAGCTGCAGCTTGTTATAAACTGTGAATAAACTGAAATCCCCTGAGAGTGGAGCTGGGATTCTCTCAGAGTCCATATTGCAAGGCTTTACCTCACAAGATCTGAAAGATCCCCGTTAATTTTAAACAGGTAAGTAAAACCAGACATTCATCTGCATCCAGAGGATTTCACCCCTTTTTCAGTTTCACAGAGAATCAGTCTCTGTGCAAAGCTAAAAAAGCACTGAAATAGTGAAATATTGGCTCTTTTCAACAGGCACAGAGAACTAATTGCAACAAGGAGCAGTGAAGCTGAGTCAGAGAAAAAATATATATATATATATATATATCGAGACCATTTGAGAACTAGTATTGACCAGAAATGTTTCAGTAAATGACAAGAAAAAGTCAGAATATAAAATTTAACATTGCACAGGTGGAAAGCCTGATGCCTTCCTGGAATTTAGAGGGGGTGAACTGATGTGGAAGTTGAGCAGAAAACCTTGGGGACAGGGCTGGATCTCAGAAAGTGCAGAAAATACAAAACTGTGCAAGCCTCTGCCTGTCCCACCTGTCTGAAACCCTCCTGTGCTGCTCCCTGGAGTGAGGAGCGTTCTGCTGACATTGGAATGCTCTCCCCARGCCCAGCCCCATGCCCTGGCTCCATCCTGTGCATCCAGGATGAGTTCCACTCTCCTCCACAAGGAAGCCCCCAACCTGACTGAGGCTGTCACAACATTTAAACGAGCAGGGTGTGTTTTCCTCTCCCCAGCAATCAAATGTCACACTGATTTGTGAGAGCAGGAATTACCCAGCAACAGCAAACTCTTCTTGCTGATTAGAAGCGCACAAATGAAATTCAAGAAGCTGCTGCCATGAACTCTCCACGATGAGTTATTTCACATTATTGGTTTTCTGTGACTGCATTTTGAGAGAACACTTTTAAAACAAACATCAAGCACGTCTGACTATTATGCAGCTCAGCACAGACCTATAAAAAGGACAATACACATATTCATAAACTAAAAAAAAAAAATTCTATTTGTTCAGCAACATTAACATTCAGCTTGACCTTTCAAAGAACAAATCTATTGGAATTGCAAAAATTTTCAGTCTCTTAATTAGCTCTGTACAGAAAAATCCAATGCCACAAGCAAACAGGGCATTTCCATTCTGGCTTCCTGTACAGAGTGAGTAAAATAATTCTGGAGGTAACTCACTTGAAACCAGAATGAATAAAGGTCATTAACCTCCCTGATTTAACCAATCTAATTTGTGCTCTTTGAGAATTAATTGAAATGCCTTAGATATCCACAAATCCTTTTGCAGATAGGAAGTCTCAGTGAAAAGCAGTTGTGTTACCACACATTTGTGTCACCGAATTTATCTGCACCAGAACTGGGCCACCCCAATCTCACYACAACAGGAGTTTTTAAAATGTCTCGTGGTCTTGTACTTAGGAGTAAATCCCTAAATAAAATAATAAAATATACAGTTTTCACAGCACCTGTTCTCATTTTGAGGATCTCAACGGCATTTAACACTTCATAATTAACAATAGGATGTTAAGGCATTAAGACTGCTTTAAAGAAAAAAAAAAATTAAATCACACCTCCTTCTGCTAGGCTCCATTTCACTGACCCAAGCAATTAAGACTGCTTAAAAAAAATAAAGAAAAAGAAAAAACCACCAAAAAAAAAAAATCACAGCTCATTCTGCCAGGCTCCATTTGAGTGCCCCAAGGCAGCCCCCGCTCACCAGGATTTTGGTGGTGTAGGCGCTGTTGATGGCGATGGCGTTGACCAGCAGCTCCAGGGTTTTGGCAGGGATGGAGTCAGGCTCAGGGATCTCTTTGTAGTGCACGTCCCCCACGTAGGCCTGCACCACGGTCATTCTGTTGGTGGTCAGCGTGCCCGTCTTGTCCGAGCAGATGGCCGTGGCGTTGCCCATGGTCTCGCACGCGTCCAGGTGCCGCACCAGGTTGTTGTCCCTCATCATTTTCTGAAGGGAAAAACGGCAACGACGCAAATCAGAACCCTTCTGGGCTGCTTTGGCTGAAGGTTCTGAAGGTCAGGTTTGAAAAGCCAAGCAGCCCAGGTTTGGTGTTGCTGGTGAGAACAGGAATTTGCCCACAGCAGAGCTTTGGTGGGGCCAAGAAACCCAAACTCAGTCACAGCGTGGCCGGGACTGTCCCCAAGGTCATTTTGTCTTTGATAAAGTAAAAGAGTTGCATGATTTTCCCACAGTAAATACACATTTTAAGGAATAGCTGGAACAGCAAAGATCAGCTCAAGGAACCAGAGAGAACAGCGTTTTGCAAACATTATCATTACACCAAACATTTGGGGTTTTTTTAGCACTACTTGGAATGCCAGCATATTATCTTGCTGCACACAGATGGACCATACATTTTGGGGGAAAAGCAAAAGAGAAAGGGGGAAAAAAAAAAAGGGTGTTAGAGGAAAGACCTCAGGAGAATGAGAAAACATTTGCAAAGCAGCTACAATCTTTATTAGCAAAAGCCCATCCTTGAAATGTGCTCCTTTTTCCTAATAATTGTAAAAATTCACTACATAGAAACCAAGATATTCTTCGTTAAACTTCCTAAATTAATTTGTTTACATTATAAATGGAAAAAACCTTCACACTATCTTCATCTAAGATTCCCAGAATGYTTAAATCATCTGATTAAATTGCTCAAGTAATCCCCAAGTCCAGCAAGTTAATCCTCTTTAATTTCCTAATAGAACCATTTACACTGACTTCAAAGAACTTGCACAGCATTTAAGAAAAGCACATGAAAGCTTCAGTGAAACTCTTAATTTCTTTGAGAAACTCTAATTTCTTTGAGAAGTGTTCCTGAAGACTTCAAATCCTTGTCAAAACTTTGTACTATTGCACAAGGAAATTTGAATACAAAATTATTCTGTCTCAAAAGACTGGACTATTTTCAGAGAACATTCCGCTCAATAAATTCCTGGTTCCTTGCAAAAGAAGCAGATATTTCTACTGCTTTATATTCCTGCACTGTGCAGCTTTAAGGAGGTGTGTTGGAACATGCATTTGCATTTTTGTGAGAAATACTTTCTTTATAAGTTTATTTCAAAGCAATTTCACCCTCATTAACACTCTGAGCACATAATTTCTGTTTTACATCAGATAAAACCTGAGGAYCAAATCAGCAGTGAGCTCAAGCACACAGCATTTTTGTCCCTGAATGATTTGGAATGTTTCTTACCTTTACAGAATAAGCCAGAGAAATAGTGACAGCAAGTGGGAGTCCCTCAGGAACAGCAACCACGAGCACAGTGACACCAATAATGAAGAATTTAACAAAATACTGGACGTAGACAGGAGTGCACTCAGGCAACCACTGCTTCTTGTTGACCACAAAGGTGTCAATGGCAAAATACAGTACCAGGATGATGACAGTGATGGCAGACATCACCAGACCTGGGGAGAGAAATCACCAGTTGCTGTAAAACCCAAACACGCTGAGAACACGAGCAGTTAAAATCTACCTTGGGATTTGGGAGGGATTGATTTCCTTCTTCATGACACTTTTCACCAGGACCAATAAAAATGATAAATTGAAAAATGAAGCAAAAACGCTGCCATAATGTATTTACAGCAGCCACACACTGCAGTGCACAAGGAAGCACTGGGTTCTAGGGAATGCATTTTTAAGCACTGCCTTACTGCTGCTTTTAAAACTTCCCAGGCAGTGCAGGAGCTCTGCTGTCACTTAGGGTTATTCAATTTAGCACMTTATCTCCCCCAGTGCAACATTTATCTGTCCTTTTCACCTCCACCTTTCACAAATTACTTGTCTACCCGTATTTAAACACCTTTCTTTTAAATAAGTGGCTCTATAGAGGCTTGAGCAAAGGATCTCCCACAGTTTATTTGCTGTATAAAATACTGCAGAAAAGCCTGAAAGACRTGTCTGGGGGAATACAAAGAGGCAATAATGCAGAATTATCCACATGACAGTTTTTCACCCCGTTTATTTAAAATGTGACAAATACCGGTCACAAGGTGTCCCTTTCCAAAGAAACATTTTCAGAGTGTCTAYTTTCATGAGCAGAGGTTCAAAAGAGACAGAGACACCGATAAATATTTCACAGAATTCACAAAATATCCCAAACGTTCCACACGCTCTCCCAATGGCACAGACTGCTGGGACAGGACTCCTCCTCCCCAGTTTTCTCCCCAGGCTTGAGTGTGTAAATGAAATTTCCATTAGAGCCCAGCCTTGCCTTGCTCTGACCATCCCYGTTTGGCAGGTTGGTGTGAAGGAGTGAAGCCTACATTTCGGAATAAATTAATTTCTCCCTAATGAGATCATAGAGCAGAAGGAGAATGCTGGAAATCTCACGTCTTGAGTGCAGTTAAATAAAAATTGGTAAAGCTGAAGGATGCTAAGGTTGACAGGAAACAGATGAGTCAGGGAGATCACTCTGTGCCAGAGGATACAGGAAAATCCATTAAAATATTGTACAGGAAAACACTCCTGACAGCGCCAGCATCCCCCCACAGAATGCTCAGTGACAAACAAGAACCAAAAGGGGCAATGATYAATTAATTGAATTCATGTTCCTTGCCACATTCTGGCTAGAAATCCCGACACAATTCCTCTAGGAGTGATGTTCATGTGCCTGCCAAAATACCAAAGAGAACAGCAGCCAGAACAGGAAGGTATGGAATTTATGGAATTAATGAGCATGGGAAACCAAGGAGAGGAGCTGGAGGAATAGGGATTGGGGCAAAGCCCTAAACTGGATATCAGGGATGATAACCCCGAGTTTGGTCACACTCTGCTCAGGCAAAGAGAGTTGGCATCGTGGGGTTATGGGATCAACTCCTTGATGAACTTACAAAGGGGTGGGAAGGAATGGGAGGGGGAAAATCCAACTGGGGAAGAAGGTTAAGGGAGATGGGACAGAGGTCGAGGGAGGAATCCTTTGTAGGGCCTCAGCCAAGGATCTGAGATCAAAAGCTCTTTAATAACTTGAAAAACAAACCTAAGGAACTTGGGGCCATTATGGAAGATTTCCACTCTGCCTAGAGCAGGGAGAAGTGCTGCCTCCAGCTGCACAGACCAGGGGGATCTGGATCCACGAGTGAAAAGAGGTGTCGTGCTTGGAGAAAGGCAGGAACGGGGATATTCAGGGGGAATAAAATGATTTCAGAACCCATGACAGAGAAATACTGTGTGAGTGATACTTTGAGATGATATCAGAGATTGTGGGACTGTGTTCTCCCAAGTTCTGAGGGGAGAGGAAATTAAATACGTAATTACTGCACTTGGGAATATTAACTCTGAGAAAAGCTGCATTTCATTTCAATTCAAATTGCCATCCAAGTTGCCCAAAGCTTCCTGACAGTTGAAGCTGATTTTTAGGAGAATAAAAGATCTTTAGTACCACACACTCTCCTCAGAACAGCTTTAAGATGGCCCATTTCCAAATGTAGCAGGAAAAGAGGGCCTGTCCTTTCTCAGAACCATTTGCCTCCCGTGACTCAGAGAGCATTGGTGCCACCCAGCCATACCTGCTTTGCCAATCTGCACTGCCAGCTTGGTCAGCTTTCCCTGAAGAACAGACTTTTCCTTCTTGTGCATGTTGGATTTCTTCTTGTCCTTGTCATCTCCCTCTCCCCCTTCGGCGCTCTTCAGCGGCTGCATCTCCATGGCAGCAGCCCCGTCCTGCTGCTTGGCTGGCAATGCAGAACAGAGCCGTTATCCAGCGCTCCCCTGGCCAGCATCGCCCTCATGCCCAGGGACACCTCCCTGTGCCCGACACCCCGGGCTCTGCAGGACACACAGTGCCAGCACAGCCCTGGGCACCGTGGACACGCAGGAATACGGGCCGGGAGCTCGGGAAAACCACGGGATTTGTTTGGAGGGTCGGACCCGCCCGTGACGCTCCAGCCATACACATACATGGCCCTGAATGTGGCTCGGCAAGTGACAGTGGCAGTGCTGCAGGATTGCCTGGAATGGCAGAGTTCAGGTGCTTTGACAGACCCACATTTCCCCGGATTTTGGGATGTCTCACAGAATGCAATGCCCCTTTATGACCGTATTTCCAACGCAGACATTTTGAAGGCGATGTGGTTCCACGGACAGCCCCTGTGTCACCTCTCTGGGCTGCAGGAACACGTCAGGGGACCACATTCTGCCATCCACCATTCCAGAAAATCCCTGACTTATAAAGTTTCCTCAGCATTCAGCCATCAAGTGACTCAACCATCAGGTCTGATGGTTCCCCCACAAAAATCCCACACAATTTCGGGGCTGATCCCTCCTTTCTTGACAGAATGCCAACACAAGGAAACTTTATGAGAGTACCCAGGAGAAGGACGTGTTCCCGAAAGGCAGGGACACTGCAGTGCATGTATGTGTATGTGTCTGCTTCGTACTGAGCACAAGAAATCAAACAGAATGAGATGGAACAGCTTCGATTTCGTGAAGAGATTGTACAGGACCGTGCTTGTTTGACCTGCAAATCTGATTTAGCTGCCTAACCCTAACACTTATCCATTTAACAGCATTTCCTTTGGGACTTCTGCACCATTAACCACTGAGTTTCTCTATCCAGTTTCTGAGCCATCACCTTTGCCATGTTTAATATGATMTGAGAAAATATGATCATTTAATTTGGTACAACCCAAAGAACTCCTGATAGCCACGTCTCATGTAATAAAAAGGGAACCAGGACTTTGCTTCTGAGAAAGCAAAATATTGATTCCAATTTCTTCCTGACATTGCGTATTAAGTAAGAAACTCCTCAGATTGCTAATCTTCCAGTTGTTTACCCTTACAAAAGGCTTTTACCCTGCTCAATAACACCTTGGCTTTAAGGTTTCCTTTGCTACTGCTTCAGCTCTTCCCTGCAAATGAGAAGATGTCCATACAATGCCATCAGACAGAGATGATGAGACATAAAATCTGGGCTGGAAAACCACTAACGATACGTAGAATACACAACTCGCACAGGRAAAGTGAATTCAAGTGAACTTTGTTGAATGAAAGTAACGTCTATAAATGGTTTGTTTAAAATACTCCTCCCCTAAATATCTGAAACTGGTGGAAGTTACAATCTCTTTGGTTGGTTTTTGGTTGGGGTTGTTTGTTTGGGGTTTTTTTGGACATTCTGCATGAACAATCAGGGCCATTTTCACACACAGGCACAAATCACAGGTTCTTGCTGTACTTTGGGACAGGATTGCACTACATGCTAACAATACAATTCACAACCTCCTGAATAGGAAAGAAGATTACCTTTGTTCTGGCTGTTCTCCATATTCCCATCCTGCATCTTGCCTAAATGATGAAAAATTCCAACAGACAACAGACAGTAAACAACCTTCAGCCGAGACAGAACACAAACGTGGGAATTCAAATCAACGGGACACAAAAGCCACGAGCACAGCACGGGACTGGGCACCATCCCCTGTCCTGACAGCGCACCCACAGTGGGCACAGCCGCGCAATTCCAGGGAAATCAGGGCTGGGACACTCAAACACTGAATATCGGCACGTGGTTTGGGGAAAATTCATCAGTTCAGAGGGGAAAACTGATAAAGGGGATCTGGTGGGAAGGGGAATTGGGATAATCTTCCTGAGCTGATGTTGCAGGGGGCTGGGACTTAAAAACTCTGGCACACGCCAGTGCAGAGTATGATTTCCTTAATGTATTCCAGAATTAAATTATGTTATTAAATTGAGAAAAAAAATAGAAATAATAGAGTTAATAAATATAAATAAATGGTAAATCAGATATGACTTTTAAATTCCMTCTTCCTCATTTGGTTGCATTATTYAGCGAATTTCTTCTGGAAATACAAGTGCCAGGTGGCCTACATTCAGTTTTATCCTAAACATGGATTTACCAAGCACCTCTTTAATTTCCAATTTGACATTTTATCTACAAACAGTTTTACCATGCCAAAGTCCTTATTCCTTTGTGCCTTTTTTAACACAAAATTTYCTTTGAAAGTGGGTATGAGATAAAAATGGCAAAATACAAATGCCATACAAAACTTGGGTGTTCAGAATAACAACTGAATGTTTTCAAATTTATTCGAAATTTCTTGGTGGGATCCCTCATGAAACTTTCACAGTAATGCATGAATTTATGGAAAAGACTACAARTATTACATTTAGAATGGATGACAGTCTCTTTGTGGTCTTGTAAAATGTACAATAAAAAATAATGCTAAGGAAAATTAAGTTAAAACACCTTCCCAGGATTGTTGACACATTTTAAAAAGAAATGGATCACTAGAATTTATAAAAAATGTGCCAGCAGGTACATCTYGCTCTTCTGACCACTACATGGATTAATTTTTTCACTCTGCTGTGAATAAATAATAACAAAATGGAAAAGCTAAAATGCATCTCTTGCACACTGATCTTCTCACTGAGTGTGAGGGCACTACAAACCTCGCTCAAAAAAAGAGCAAAAGTGACCAAATCAGTCTCGTATTTGTTAAAAACAGGCCACAGAGCCACCCTGGGAAGCACCAAAGCCCAGAAGCAGAGCCAGGGAAAGGACACCTCGTGCCCATCCCAGAGCTCAGGGGAATTACTGCAATAAATCAAATAAACCACTGCCCACCCCTGCTGGGCTGCACGGCCAATTCCAGCCCACCCTGGCAACAACAGCACTGTTAAAAAATAGGTGCCCACCGTGCAGAGCTTTGCCCTTTGGGCCTTTGGGAATCCAGGAGGCTGAGCAAAGCCAAGCTTTGGTGAAATTCCAATTTGGTGAAATTCCCCACCAAAGCTCTGCCTGTGGGCRCTGCTGGGCTCMGCACMTGCCTGGGGCTCTGTGCCTTAGAAGGGCTTTTAACAAAGTCACTGCAAGATGGGAAATACCTCTGGAGATTCTGGCTAGGCCAGAAAGCCTTCCCTAAGAACTGGGAAATAATAACTTAGAGCAGAATCTGCTCCATTTCCTGCTCCAGAGATCTTTGGCAGARYGCAATTCCAAACCTTGGAGCGGTAAAATTGAAGGATCTTCAACTTTAAAAATGATAAAAATCACCAAGAAAACCCAAACACGACTGTCACAGCTGGCAAACATGAGAGATTATTTTTCTCTGTAAATCACAGTCTGTAACTTCAGGATAGATATTTGCTATTTAATAKCATAATTATCATAATAAATTACACTAACAATTAACTGGCTACCTAAAAAAAAGTACACAAAATAAACAATTAGTGGCAACAGTTAAAAAAACTAGCTATTTAAAAAACACATTCTTAATATTCTTAATCTACTGCATTCAGGTTATTGAAGAGGGGAAAGTCATCACAGGCAGTTACAGTTCAGTTATTTAGACAGAATAACAAAGAAAAGATAATTTGGGCAATTCAGATAAAGAAAAGGATGCTGTAAACTACTGATTGCCTCCTGTGCCAAAGAATTTTAAGGCTGCACTTTGCTATGAAATATGAGCAAGGAAATAAAGACAGAAAGAAAGGTGAGAGAATCACCACTGCTGAGAGATCCTTCCTCCTTCCAGGTACAAAAACTCCCCCRTCCTTCTGACCTTCGTGCATTGTCCAGAATCATTTAAAGGGTGAGTATTTATTCATATTTTGATAGGATAATGTGAAGCAATGCTTCAAAAATATAATGCATTTTTACATAATTCTGTAAATATTTTCTTCTTTTCTGTTTGGAATAACAAGTAAAATGAATGTTGTTTGGGCTGGAGAAATCCATCTGAGTTTGTTTTTATCCCTTTTCTAAGCGAGGATGGAAAATCAGAAGGTTTAGAAGAGCATTTCTAACASCACCTGTATTGTGCAGCTGATCTGAAGGTTTTGAATTGAAATATAAAATGTGTTGCACGTGCCTTTGCCTCACCACATTCCTGTATTTTGGAAAGGATTCGGGGCAYCTCCACTGCCTGAATTCTTACTCCAAAATCATGGACTTCACCAAACCAAATTCCCAAGAAAAGCCTCCCCCTTAGCTGCCCCAGCCCTTGAGGAAGAGCCAAGGACACAGAATAACAAAGTCCTATCACTGTTTTGCAATTTATTTATTTWTGGAAATTCTGGAAATTTATTTTGCAATTTATTTATTTTTGGAAATTATTTGTACATTGGGAGAACTGTTTGGAATCAACCATAGGAAATAATTGGAATTGTGTTCTCAAGTGCTGTGATGGAACAAAAGAAAATATAAAATACCCTGCTGGGTCTCCAAAATGTCTCATCTTGCAACAAAATTATTTACATTCCTTGTGGTCTGCAGCAAGAAAAAAACAGGGACATGGCTCAAACAGAAACAGGGGAAAAGTGACCCCAACTGTGCCTGGAGGGAATCTCTGGGAATTCTTCCCTTCAGTGGGAGAGCAGAGCAAAGCACAAGTGGACTACAAAGGAATGACTCTGCTTCCACTGGATTAAACAGCAAGTTTTGGGTAATTATTCTACAAATTTAATAAATAATTTCACTTATAATTCAGAAATACATTAAGACATAAAATTTAAAATTTATTAAAAGTAGAAAAAATAATATTAAAAAAAATTCAAACTGCAAATTGCTTTGTGGGAACTGAAGTAGTTCAGTGAATACACCGGGATTAGCAGGAGATGTAAAATATTTTAGCAGAGACGTTTCTCTGGGTCTGGTAAGGCATTTCTATACTGCTCCTATTTACTGAACTCACTTTTAAATAGAAAATTCWCTGGGTTAAAAATGCCTAAAAAAACCCCAACAATCCGCCCTGGAAATCCTGATTTAGGATGGTGGAAGGAAATCAGATTTGGGGTCATTTGCTCTACTGAAAGGAAATCAAATTTGGGGTAAACAAGCTGTAAACAGCGATTGCTGCTTCCCTGATTTTCATCATTTAAAATTACCTTTACAAAATAGAATACTTTGAAATTAGATGAATTTTCCTGAGTTACAACCTTTCTGCAAAACTATCTGCTCTGTTTATGACCTTAACTTGCAAACTTCTGAAAACTGCACTTATTGTCCATAATTTTAACAAAGAGACCACCAACAATTCTGTATTTTGATCTCAACTCCTAAATCCCAACAGAATTTGGGAGTTCCTTGGATACAGCAGATAATACACGGGCTGTGTCACAAAAAACACAAATTTATCACTCTAATCTGGCTGAGAGCAAAACACTTCTGAGCCTATTGTATAGTGACAATTAAGGATAAAAATCTTTTATCTCAAATGTAGATGGGTTGATTTTCAAGCAACAGCATTTCCTGAGCTTGCTACTAATGCAAGTAAATTTTTTTTTCTTATTTTAAGATATTTTCTAGGTAAAATGCTTGTTTCCAGTCACACCTTATGAAGAGTTWTCTGAAATTATTGAAAATATTCATCCAGGCCAAAGAAGTATGCAGATGGRTTTGGRCTCCTTGCTTTGTATMTCAACCTCCCCTTCCTTCCTCCCSTCCCAACCTTATCTGCATTTTCAGTGTTCTCCAACTCCTCAGCAGTGCTACCTAAGGAATTACCAGGAATGGAGCATTGGCCATTTCCCAGATAATTCTATAATTAATAATTCTAATAATAATAAAGCACTCAGGTCTGAGTCTGCCTGCCTCAGCTCTCCTCTGAGCACAAGGCCAGAGCAGTGGAATTGTGGAAAGCTTCTCCTGCCCATGTTGATCAAAGACCAACAGGATTCACTGAACTGCCCATCTCAGAGGAGCCAAAAGCCAAAACAGCCTCCACTGCACCAAAAATTCACTTTACACTGGAAAGCACTACATTTGTGTCTCTCAGCTCCAGGATAAACATGGACAGTACCTGTTGTTCCTGACTGGAGAGAGGATGATGGAAATCACAWCCCTAATTCAGACACTGATCTAATATCCCCTGAACTCAATTTCCTCATTTAGTTCAGCATTAAGGCCAACACAGCAGGAATTTCCCAGGCAGCCCCCGCTGCTGGAGCAGCACAGGGCTCACTCTGTCCCTGATGAGAACCTTCCCCTGCCCCAGGGTGATCCAAACCCATCCAACCTGGCYTTGGACACTTSAGGGATCCAGGGGCARCCACAGCTYCTSTGTGCCAGCACCTCCCCCTCCTYACAGTAATGCAAAATAAAACACTTCTAATTCATTTCCTGATTCTTGGTCTCTGAGGAATCTGGAACCAGGAGGATGGAGATCCCGGCCATGCAGAGAAGATGTAGGGTTAGTAAATCCCAGTTTTTCTGAACGTTTTTTAAATGGTCATATGGTCTTTTAAATGATAATAAAATGATTTAAAAATAGTCTCAAAGATTTCCCGTGTCACTGCTTTAAATAAGATCCCACAGCAGTAAATGCTGGTCCTTGTTTAGCACTTGGTATTTCTGTCAGAATCTCTCATTTCACATATGAAATACAACACCTGCTGACCTGCATGGAAAAAACCCTTCTATCAGCACCACGATGGAAAGGAGAACAGCTTCCCTCAGTTCCTGTGGCAAATCAAGGCTCATGGATGTGATTAGCAGCAAAACACAGCTGATGCCTACACTAATATTGACCCGTTCCATCCAACTGAGCCCTGAGTGTGACTGTTGGGAGGAGACTGAAATAGCTGTGTGCTAACAAGTGGGGTCAGGGCTCTGGAATGGGTCACTGCAGGAATACTTTGGTTTGGGTTTAGTTAATACAGGCAGGCTCAGGAGAATATCARCACAAATTTCCACAAAGCTTCTCAGTCCCCCTGGGACAGATGCTGAAAGCAGCAAAGGTTGTTCCTAACACAGCGTTGGTTGATGTGAGCCAGATCCCTGATCCCAGAACTCCATGGAGCCTGTATGGGGAACTGGGGGAGGGAAAAAGAGGAAAAGCAGTAGAATCCCTTTCTCAYGGTGTTCCTCATCAGATCTACGCTGAATAATGAAGCTTTATAACCAAATTTCATGTGAAYCCACCCAAAAGTTTTGCAAGTGGCCTGATTTCACTGCTCCACTTAACTGCAGTGTCAAAGAATGGCAAACAAGCCATGATTCCGAGTTGGCCCTCTGAGTCTGGGGGAATAAAGCCGCAGCTCCTGCCCAGTGTGTGGAGTAGGATCTCTCAGAGTGCATCACACACACACAACATCTGTGCGGGTCAGGCAGGGGAGAGGGAATTTGACACAGTCAGGAGAGAAATCCATCAAATCAGACAAGCCGGGGGTTGTGACGTACCATTGACTAAGCTGGCATTTGCATTATCAGTGGCATTTGCACCTGCTGCACCATCTGTGGCTGGAGGAGGGTGGGAGGAGGGATGGGAAGAATCTACTGAGCAATAATGGATAAAAGAAAAAAAAAAACAAAACACAAAAACAAAACAACAAATAATAAATAAAGAATAATGGCAACGCGAACAAATGCACGTGACAGAACGGAAAGCGATCGTGGCTGGTTTGTTCCCAAAATCAAACAATTTAAATGGAATTAAACACAAATTTCCAAAGCAACGGGGCATTGGGGAGGTGGTACAAAGTGAGCTGAAAACTCAAATTATAATAATAATAATAAAAGATAAATAAATATGAAATACATTTAGCAAAGTARAAGGAGTTGGTGAGAACTGACTGTACACAGTGCTGTGTACATTGCTTTAGTCCATATATGTGGGGTTTTTTTTAAACTTTAATGTCATTTATGAAGCTGTAAAATGGCTGAAATCTTCACTTTGGAGTTAATTTACACAATGCATGGGCAGTTTTAAAATCTGCATTTAAAATATTCATTATATCTATGCRTACACGTACTGCTACACGGCACAATGGTACGTATTTGTTGTTTTATATAATTTTGCACATTATGACTTCTCACTAATGCATCCCAGGCTAACAGGGGCTCAATGCATGTCCTGCCATCACCCAGGTAAAATGAACATCAGTCTGCATAGAAACATGAAATTTTCCAGTATTTTATGTGGAAAAGGCAAATTTTTGAGGAAAATAATGGCTTATTTTCAATCCAGATAATGGACATGACACATTTCCCCATTTGTGGTGAAATGAAAGGAGTATCAGAAAAAAAGGAGTATCAGAAGAAAAAAAACCTTCTTCTTCTTTTCAGTAATCATCCACATATTAGAGAAATTGGTCAAGAAATTTTTCCTAACAGGGAGGAGAAAAGCTTGAAGAAGGTTTTATCATTTCACTACATTTTTTATATTAGAGTTTTAAAAAAACTTATTCTCTGCAAAGAACAGATAAAATTCATTTGGTTTTGTTTCTGATGGTGAATTGCTCACAACAGAACCAAGTCCTGCAGTGAATCCTGCCGGGGGCTCTCACACCCCCAGCCCCACGGGACCACTCGAGCTGCTGGTCCTGCACAGGAAGGGGCTGATTCTGCTCAAATGGCAAATTGGGAGAAGAAAACAAACAGCTCACAGGGCTGCAAACACACCCCATATACTGTGCCGGGGGAAATTTCAATTGCAAATTTGATTACTGCGATGGCAACGCCTTCCACTGTTGTGGTGGCTCCTTGGGATCCCCAGCCCAGCCGAGCAAATCAACAGCAAATCAACAATTCCACATCAATCCTTGGCCGTTTCCTGCGGGAATGGTTGATAATTCCAGCTCAACGGGAACATTTGCACCACCACCAATGCCTGCCCACCGCAAGGTTTGGCCCCAGCAATCCTGTTGATTTGAAATAATTCTTTAATTTCGATTGGACTGATTCAAAGGCAATTTTTCAATCAGCAGCTCCCCCCTGATTTGCAGCGATGGCACAATTCTTACTCTACCTGGAAGCTGCTGCTCCTCCTCCTGTTTCACACCTGCACGAGGATTGTTAAAGTGTTAAAGAGCAAGAAAAGCACCCACCTACACGGACTGCTGGCATTTCACTGCCAGGACTCTGGGAACTGCAGCTTTATGTACCTGAGGTCTTTATTTGAATAAATAAAATCATTTGTAATAGTAATTATTTTAATAGTAATAAAGGCAATAATAAAAATAATAATGATAAAAATAATAAAGGAGGCAGCTGCCTCCACCTGACACCTCTGCATGAGCACAAGCCCAGCAAATCAGAAAAAGGGAAGGAATTCTCTATAGAATGGATTTTTTTTTATTCCTGCTATTTCTTTAGAGCCATTTTCAATTGATTTCTGTGTCTGCATCTAAATTCTAACACACTTCAGTGAGAAGCTCCATCTTTGGGTAAGTTACAGCTGTGGGGCAGTGCAAAATCCCTGATTTCTCTTTTTCTGCCTTCCCAGGCTATTCCCAGTGAATCCTGAGACAGCCACCAGTGTCCTGAGCACAGCCTAGAGAGCCCAGCCCAGTTAAACCCAGCTCAGCTTTGCACCACACTGGGATGAAGCTGCTCCTCCTCAAAACAGATCTCAAAAAGGCTCTGCCTGGGAGCCTCCTAAGGAGAGCAAGAGCCAGCTCTGAGGCACTGCTCAAAACCAGTCTGGCAGAAAAGAGTTTCATTCTGTGAGGTTTCAGTTTTTTCCATTTTCCTGAAACTCCCAAGCCTGGCAGGTATTGTGCATTTCTGTGCAGAAATRAAATGATAAACATTTCATTAAGTAAAAAGGGATTTCCTCAAAGCAGCAAGGAGTCAAAGACTTGTGGAGCATACTCAGAAATTGAAATTGTAGGCCCTGAAAACATTTGAATTTGACCTTCCTATCTGCAGCTTCAAATAAAAGGATGGAAACAAAAAAAAATGGTATCATATTGCCTGAAGGCAAATAAATAGCGAATAGAATGTTCATTAAAGCAATAACTGCTTTTTCTTTATTAATAGTGAAAACCACCAGAAAGGGCAGGAATGTCTAAAAAACCTGTATTAATTGGCCCTGAAATATGTCTGAAAGACAAATATTCTTAGGACAGACTTGGAATGGAACTGTGGAAGCAGAACAATTCACAAGACCGTGTGAAGCAAACCTGGAAAGGACAGACATTAAATCATGTTCCTGCTTAGTGTGCAGCCCATCAATTAGCAAATGCTTGTGACATCACACTGCAATAAGGTGAAGAGTCTACAGAGGCTTCTTGATTTCATTAACTGATACAGGACATGAAAGTAAAACTGTCTGCTAACATTTACTGCTCCACTCTTGGCTTTTGCTATTCTTAGCTTGACCTTTACACCTGCAGAAATTAAAATGCCTCTCCAGTCCGTCACTGACATTAAACAACTGGGCTAGCAAAGAGCCACATCTTATCTTTATTTTATTTTAGTTCTGAAGCTCTAAGACAGATGCTATTCCCATGGCCAAGRGTTTTTTTTTTCCTGAAAAAAAAAATTACATCGATAGAAAAGCACAAAACTTTAGCAAACTGTGGGTGAGCATGGATTCATGTAGAGAAGCCACAGCAAGTGGAGCATGCCCATGGTATCCCCTGCATTTCATTATGGACTGGGAGCCTGCAGTTTCACACTGGAAAAACATTTTGTTATCCAATGGATTTATTGGTTAACAGCTTCTGCTGTTTTTCTGTGTGACATGTGATGATAAAAACGTGTCATTAAAAAAAAAAGCAGTTTGAAAAATCGCATTTCTGTGTGGCGAACACAGGAGAGCTCCGGCTGCTCAAAGCCCAGGAGCTTTCCCTGCAGCATCCTCGTGTCAGATTTACCTTTCTTGTCTTTCTTCTCCTCCTCTTCTCCCCCAGCTCCCAGCAGGGTGAAGATGATGCCAGTCTGAGAATTGACCCCCACWGCAGTGACCAGCATCCGCCCGGAGCCCTCCATCACGTGGGTACCTGCGGAGGGAATGCAGTTACACACTGCTCAAATCCATGGRAAAACTCCTGCCAGGCTTCTGTGACAGCACTCACAGATTTGTGACACTTGAAAAATCTGTATTGAGCAGGGGATGACCACCTAACCAAAATAATGCCTGTTGGGGATTATCTGTATATTAATGGACACACAAATTAGTGCTGCCACCCAAAAAACAACAACTACAAAAACAAAAACAAAAACAACCTAACCAAAAAA